GGTACTTTTGTTGCTGAAAACCAGGGAAACAGAAAGTGCTGTGTGGCTACTCCACTGCCAACCTGTGACAATCTATGCACTAGTCTGTGAATTGTCAGTATACTTGCTGCTACTTCCTTTTAACACGAGTTGCTAGAARACTGTTTCTGCATATTAACGAATATCCTCTCAGATTTTGTTCTAGGTATTCTCAACAAACAACACTGCAAGATGGGCTGGCTACAGCAAAGCTAGCATGTTATGATGTAACTTGTTATTTTGAGCACTTGGTACAATAATGGTTAGCAATGACTACTATTCTTGAGGTGCCCCTGCATTAATACTTTACATGGACTGTACTTCTTTCTCTAAAATTCTCCCAAACTGGTGAAATAACTTGCAATGAGAAATACAATCTAGAAGCTGCTTACAATTTGTCACCAAATCCTGTTAATTTTTGTGAGTTTTCCACTAACTTTGACAAGGCTTTGGATTTAGCTTGTACTTCTAAGTGCTCTTAGGAAAAAAAACTAGGCAAAGGGCACTGGATGAACATCGAGAGTGATGTGATCAAGCAGGAAGTGGAAAACGTAGACAAACTGAACTATGACTTTTGATGAACAGCATAAATCATATTCAGAGGCAGAGGTGTGTGGGTCAACTTTGTGCATAAAGACTCAACAAGCAAAGGAAGGATTTCTTTCCTAAGCTTCTAGCAAGATTTCCTTTCATTGAAGAGAAATCATGGCAGATATTTCCATACAGAGCAATGTACAAAATCAGTTAGTTTATTCAGATATTTAGCTGTGTATCTGATGATACCACTGCTTTCCATTTTGTACATGAAACCACTTCTCATGCTACTAGAAGGTGAACACTTCATATACACATATGGGGGCCCTTTTTGCTGACATGGAAGTGAAGCTAAATAGCACAGAGGCAGGAACCACTTCTCTTCAGCACTGCAAGTTTGAACAAAGGAGTAGTGTATGTGCGCGGTTTTTAAAGGAAAAACTTTTGTCATGTCTGCGATAATCAGGGTTTGTGGCTTAAACTGCTGAGTTCAGGTTGGTTGATGAGAAGCCCAACATTACCCAGCAATGTGCACTTGCAGCCCAGAAAGCCAATCATATCCTGAGCTGCATCAAAAGCAGTGTGGATAGCAGGGCGAGGGAGGGGATTCTACCCCTTTGCTCTGCTCTCGTGGGACCTTATGAGAAGCTGGAGTTCTTTGTCCAGCTCTGTGGTCCCCAGCACAGGAGTGATGTGGACCTGCTGGAGCAAGATTGGAGGAATGCCATGAAGATGATCAGAGGGCTGGAGCATTTGACAAGCTGAGGATTGAGGCTGTTCAGTCTGGAGGAGAAAGGCTGAGAAGACCTTATAGCAGTCTTCTAGTACCTCARGGGGTCTACAAGAAAGCTGGAGAAGCATTCTGACAAGGGCATGTAGTGATAGAACAGGGATAATTTTTCAGGGATTTAATCTGAAACAGGGTGGATTTCAATTAGATGTTAGCGAGAGATCCTTCATTGTGCGGATGGCAAGACACAGGAATAGGTTGCCAAGAGGGGCTGTGGATGTCCCATTCCTGGAAGTGTTCAAGGACAGATTGGATGGGGCTCTGAGCAATATGGTCWAGTGGAAGGCATCCCTGCCCATGGTAGAAGGATTGGAGCTAGGCAACGTTTAAGTCCCTTCCAACMTGAACGATTCCATGATTCCRTGAAAATGGYCTGAGCCACTCAGTGGCTGTGGCTGGCAGTGACCCAAAGATCACTCTGGGCAGTGTGTGATATGTTCATCATGGTCTGAGTTYTAAAAGACAAACCATGAAAAATTGGTGTGCATCTACAGTAACAGCTGATGATTATTTTTCCTTTGAGCTTTGTCCAAAGTTTATCTCTAAAAAATAAACTTTAGGCAAACTGTGTGTATTGACTCCTCAGCAAAATAAACATACTGAATCTCTAATAACACTTAAATCACTCATTCTAGCTTCTTTTAACTTGCTTGTTAACCAGAAAGATAAAAAAAACAGTAAAATAAACAGGCTTTACTCAGTTGTTTTTCTGGTGCCTCTACCAAAAAAAAGTCTGAAGGACAAAAGCAACTCTGGTTTGATTATTTTCAAAGTAAGTTGACCCCTCTTCTTGCTTCAAACTCCAACTGAAGGTAAAATCAAAATCCAGGCTGTCTTGGTTGTAACACTTGGCCTCTACAGCTTGAAGTGCTGGTAGTAAAGTTTACATGGAGGAGGGAAAATCTGAGTATCAGGGCTGGGATTTTTAGGGGCGTTGGAGAGCTAAGGAAGGAGGGGACTGGATAGTACCCCAGCTGCAGAAGAAATCATAGCAAACTACAGGCAGACCTAATAGTAATAGACCTTATCCCAGGATTATKTGATCTACTCAAATGCTGTAGAAGCAAAGTAGAAAGAAGCATAAAAAGTAAATATATATTAAATATAAACATGTAATATTTATACTAATCATAACACTTCTTGTCTCAGTTGGACACGTTGAAAAATGTACCGTGATGGCTGCTAGATTTTTGGTAGTCTTGTGCATATGATCTTATCTGTTATCCCATGAACTGTGCACCTATCAGTAACCATTTGATGAGCAYCCAGACATATTTTCTGTCTTTTTCTTTTTTTAGTACTCCAGCAACTCTACTGTTCAGTATCATACCTAGCTCGCAAAACAAACAAACAACAACAACAACAAAGAGGGGATAGGAAAGATTGCCTCAAAAAGAAAACCCCAAACAGCGTGACATTTAAAAAAAAGGCATTTTTTTGATGACTGTGTTTGCTTTATACATTTTCCTTTTTGTGCCTTTAAGGTTTGTGCCTTTAAGGTCACTTCAACAAACCCCCTGGCTAGAAACTTCATTAAAAAAAAATAAACCTGAGTTTCTTGCATAATTGTATGAGTCCAGGAGCTACAGCTTTAAGAAGGGCACTAAATGTTGTAAGATCCACAATTAAATCACACAGAACTTGGCAACCAATTGATGGAAAAGAATTGGAAAATTAACAGTAATTAAATAAACAATGGTTTAATAGATAATTTTTTTACAGTTGAGGGGAAACCTTGCTCTAAGTTCTCACTCACGTTGAGCCCTCTAGAATCCTCCAGATGATAAAACTGTGCGTTACTGCCCAATTACGATTSGTCTCCGAGTCACTCATCATGACTGCTTTATGGATTTAGTTTCACAATATAATAAAGAATTCATCGTGGCTTCCTGAAGCCTTTGCAGAGAGAAACACTTTTTTTCCCAACTTGTGATCATTTCAAAGGAATAAAGCGCTGAGAGAGGCTATTAAAAAAAAAAAAAAAAATCAGTTTTGCATTGCATCAAACCCCGGCTTTTCGTGAGAGCTCATGCAAATCCCGCGGCGTCCAGAACACGTCCCATTGCTTTAGTAATGGTGACTCCGACATAAAGGCGAGGTTTTAAGTATTTCTGAGACTCTGGAGACTTTCAGAAGCCGGCGACGCACAGATGCCTGTAACTTAAGCTAGTGTATTGCAGATAAGGACTGACCCCGCATGGGCTGGCTGCTGTCGCTCGGGCAGCCCCCAGCAGCTCATTGTGCGGTGGTTGGGAACGGGGAGGGAACAGGGAGGGAACGGGGGAACCGTGGTCCCCSAGCTGCCGGCACAGGCGGACCCAGAGCCACCCGAGGATAAGAGGGAGGGAGAAAGGAGCCCCCGAAGCCCAAGTCACAAAGTCACGTATACTTGATTTTCACGGCAACGAGTACCGCAGAAACGCTCTGATCCATGGCGTGTTAAACTTCCCTGCTTTGAACCTGCCCATGAAAGTTTCTGACTCGCCACTGTTGTGGTTTTTTGGATTTATTTTTTTTTTTTTGTGGAAGGAGAATTAGAAGARGAATGGGGGTGGTGGGAGGGGGGAGCAGAGAAAGCTGATGCGCCGCCGCTCGCACGAAAGCAAATGGCAGCRTCGCCCGGCACTGGAGTAGTAAGTTAATAAATAAATAAACCAACCCCGCTGCGCGAACGGCGAGGCGGAGGAGGGAACACCCTCCCTCCCTGCCCGGCCGCGAGGCGAGCGGGTGCGCTATTCCTGCAAATAACATGGCAGGGCCAGCGATGCGGGGAGGGGAGGGAGGGAGGGAGGAAAGGAGGGCGGCTCTTGGCCCGGGCGGCCGGGCCGTGGCGCATCCGCGCCTCATCCACGGGGATGATGAGGCCGCCGCGCTCCCGCGCTCCCTCCCGCCGCCGCTTCCTGCGCGCGCCCCCCCCCCCCCCCCCGCGGCCCTGTTGCATCAACTTCCTGTGCGGAGCCCCTCGCGGCAGGGCCCCGCGCGCCAGCTCCTCCCGCCCGCGCGCGCGCCCCCCCGCCCTCCGCGCGCTACCCCGCGCGCGCGCCCGCGCGCCGCCCCCGCCGAGCCCCGCGCGCCGGGCCGGGCGGGCGCGGGGAGGGAGGGAGGGATGGGGGGATGTGTGTGGATGGGGGGGCGCGGGGGCTTCTCGGCTGGCGCGGGGCCGCCCCCCGCGCTGCTCTCCCCGGCCCCCGCGCCATCACTCCCGTCCGGTACCGGCGGTGCGGGGCGGTGCGACCGCCCGGTGCCCCCCGCGGCCGCGGCCGGCGGCGCCGCTGCTCCGGCAGAGTTTGGTGCCCTACTTCACTCTACTTTAGTTTCACTCACTTTACATCCGGGCTTTTTCCCTAGGCAATGGGGGCCGCAGCACAGCCCGTTCCTTAGGCAAAGGGAAATAAATTCGCCGCACCGACACGTCAAGTAGTCCCCCCTCAGGAGAAGCCGCCGAGCCCGCCCTCCCGGCTTTCCCTCTTGCCCGGGCCCGGGCCGGGGCGGCGGCGCCCTGCCGTCGCAGTGGGGACAGGGGAACGTGGGCGTGGGCCGCCGGTCCCCGCTCCCCCCCGCGGGTCTCCGGCGGCGGGCCGGGCCGGGCCGGGGCGGGCGGGGACGCGCGCGGCGGCGTGTCGGGAGCGCGCCGCAGGCAGGCAGGCAGGGAGGCCGGCGGCGGAGGGATCCCGGCGAGCGGTGTGCTGCGGCCGGGCCGGGTGAATGGGATTGAAGAAGAGTTCAGCTTCTCGGCTTGTTTTTGTGTTACAGTTTCTCTCCTCCTGCGCCTCTCCGGCTTCGTGCCGCCCTCCCCGCCCGCTCCCTCCTCCCCGCCGCAGKAGGAGCCCCCCGCGGAGAGGGGGAAGGAAAAGGACCCCACAGAGGCGAGAGCGAGCGAAGAGGAGGAGGAGAAGGGAGCAACCTACCATCTTCCACTCCCCGCTTAGCTTAAAGAAAGTGAGAGGAGGAGAGAGAGAGAGGCGCCCAGAAGAGGGGGACAGGGAGGCCCAGAGGAGCGGCGGCGCCGGCACCCTCCCCCTATGAAGAAGAGTCCTCCCCCTCACAGAGAGGTCCTGCCAGGGGGACCCCGGCCGGCCCGCAGCAGCACCGCCGCCGCCAGCAGGGTGTAGTATCCCACCTTTCGGATTCGCCTCCTCCTCCTCTTCCTCCCTGCCCCCCCCTGCCCCCCGGGATGGCGCCGGCGCGCCCCGCACTCTCCGGCCAACTTGGCGATGAGGAGCAGCAACTTCGCCGCGGCCCCCGGCCCCTCCCTCGGGGGGGTGGCGGGGAATAGCGGAGCGTCCCGGGGCGGCCCCCCGGCCTCCCCGGCAGAAGTTTGCGAGCGGGAGCGGGAGAGGTGGAGGAGGGTGACACTTGGGGTAAAAGGAGGAGGTGACACATTGGGGTTGGGGGGAGGAGCAGGGGAAGGAGATGACACATTGCACTGGGGATGGGGTGGGGGAGGGAGGCTTATCCCCTCCCCTCCGGTTTCCTTCAGGATGATTATTTCCAGGCCCTTTTCTCTCGGTCGGGTCCTTCGCCGCGATGCTGTCGGGGAAGTTTTATTATTATCTGGGAAATGATGCCGCTCTCGGTGATGGATAATTCGTAGTAAATCTGCTGCTGCGGTTTTTCTTTTTTTTTTTTTTTTTTTTTTCTTTTTTTTTTTTTTTTTTTTTTTTTTTTTTTTTTTTTTTTCCTTTTTTTCTTCCCTCCTTCCTTTCATTCGTCTTTGTGGCCCGAGCAGCGCCGGGAAAATTCCGTTTCTTCAGCAACTTGTTATTCCGGAGCCGGGCCTGCCCCCCTCGCCCTGGGGCTGTCCTTCCCGCACAGGTACGGGGCCGGGGGCCGGGGGTGCCCACGCCTGCCCCAGTATTGGGCACGGACACTTCTTTATTTTGGTTTGTTTCCCTCCCTCCTGCGCCCGTGTAGGTGGAGTGGGGCTCTTGTGGGACTCTGCCATTTGGTGTAGTCCTCTTATGCATGTTCCTTTCCTTTCTTCACTTGCCTGCAGGATTTTTTTTTTTTTTTTTTGGTGGTGGTGTGTGTTTTGTTTTTTTCCTGTTCTTTATTATTCAGTGCTTCACTGTCGGTAGCGCTTTCTCCTCAACCACCTCTGCAGTTTGGTGGGTGCTGGTGGGTTTGTACGCCGAGTTTTTTTCGGTGAATTCGTATTTTATTAATGCATGGAGCTCTTCATTCAACTTCTTCTCAAGTGTCAAAAAATGAGGCTATGAACAGATGTGGTTCAATATGGAGAGATTTCCAAGTTCCTAATTCTTGGGGGTGGAGGAAAGAGTGCCATTGGAGAGTGGCTTTTGTTTTCGATTGGTGAACAAATGTCATCACATTTCAGTCACGTGCTGTAATATTCTTTGTTCAGCTATCAAAGTATGATATCTGCTACACCTGTTCCCACTTTTTAATTGTAAGTAACGGTGATTGCCTGCAAATGTTATAATTGCAGATAGGAGCACTTTCTCCCTTTCTCCCTCTTCTACTCTCTTGGATATTTGTTTGGGCCCAAGCACTGAGCTTGACAATGAACTTTTGTTCACTGTGGAGACTGCATATAAAAAGGTCCCTCTGGGGGTAATAACTTGCGTGTGATGAGAAAGTTGTATACTGTGATGTATGGTGGGTCTGAGCATGGAGAAATCAGGTGGGGATGCACGCTCCATAATGGYAGGGCTTGAGGAAGAGGTAGGCTTCTTTGGGCCAGGAAAATTTTYTTGTTATCAGGTTAAAGGATACTTCTGTACACCTGTATGTGTAGATGGATGCATGTTTTTTGCTTAGCTGTAGATTTTTAGGTACCAGGAAAAAGAAGGATTTTGGCTTCTTACTTTTTTTTCTCCCCCCCATTGTGTTCACTTCTAACAATGAAGACACCTGCTTAGTTTCAGTTTTGTAACTCAGCTTCCTCTCTCTTTCCTGTGATTTCCCGGAGTTAGCAGATGATGCTGGATCGGCTACATAGCAGGGAAATTTCTAACCTGTGATGAAGGGAGGCTTATTTTAGTCTTAATTTGTAAAAAAATAGTACGTGTTTGAAAGCCTTGTTAAAAAAAAAAAAAACCCTTAAAATTCTAAAATTCATTACTTCTAGCAGGTTAACGTGTAATGCCAAAACTTCAATATTAAACTTATTAGTGATTGTGTATAATATGACTTTATAGTTTATATTAAATAGTGGCATTAAATTACTACTAAGAATGGGATATTAAAGAAATTAAAAAATATGCATAACTACCAATATTAATTAAATAGTTAATTATCATACTTTCGGAGAAAGATTACAGTCTTTGGAAATTTTGTTTACATCTGTGCATGCTTCATGATACATAAATAAAACTTTCTTTGAGGGCATTTTTAATTATTGTTTTCTAGAAAGGRATTCTGTAGCTCAGTAAATGAAACTTTAAAATGATTTTTAAAAGGAGATGATTTGATTCTCAAGTGTTTTAAAAACTTTCAACTTTACTGTGGTAGAAAGATTATTTTGTGATAGTTRTATCAGCTAGGGGTTTGAGCTCAGAAGGATTATGGAGCAGCCTCTTTATCCATTAATTTCATGTTATATAGTAGCATGTATGGAGTATCTCTTCAAGGTCTTAAGAGACCCGCTGTCCAGCAGAAGGTAGGTGCTTGCTCATTGAGAGTACTTGCCACCAGATGGATGTCAGCTATGTCATATCCCAAGTTTTTAGCCATACTGACCTGAGGGACAAGAAATGTGGAGTGCATCCCATTATGGTTTTTGGTGATCTTTTATTTAACTAGCAATGCCAACACAGTATACAATTAAAAATGTTGTGTGGAGAAGTCTTTTTATTATTAATAATTGTTTTGCCATTAGTCTTTGTAAGATTTTTATCTGAAAGTTTTTAATCTTTGCTCTCTTCTATGTGCATCCTGAACTAGTATTGTTGTGAGATGGAAGCAGACATTTGAAAGTTGTTTTCTTCCTTTAGGGAATGAAAATTAAAAAAACTTTCCTTCAATGAACTTTAAAAAAGCAAAAGTAGGAAATTAAAACATAGGCTGCTTAGAAAAAAGTGCTGTTGTGTTTTCCAGCTTCAACATTGAGATCTCTGCTTTAAGTTTAGATTTTGTAACGATATCTCTTCACTATAGGCCATTCAGCTGTGTTTCAGATATTAGGCCTAGCTATTTCTTATTCCTTACTATAAGTTTTTTTTTTTTTTTAGAGATGAGATTTTGTGTGTCCCAATTAAACTTCACTGTCTTGGTGTGGATCCTTACAAAGGACATAGTTTTCATGCATTTTTTTTTCTTTTTAGAAAATAAAATGTGTTTTATTGTCTCCTTAAAAAGTTTTGTACTTCTGTGTGCAGTTGGAAAGCTTTGACAGTGAGCCTGGCTATCACTTGTGTTGTTCATGCAGTTTGTTTATAATGAAAACATTGTAGCTGTTCAGTTCCTTTATCCTTATTCTCAGAGCCATGAGGAACTTTGGTCAAATGAATTGATACCTCTGGAAATTGTTTGCAGTGGAGACTTTGCTTTTATTTTAGTCCAGTTTGAAGAACCTTGATGGACTATCTTATTTCATGTGTCATTGGCATTTTTGCATGGGTACCACAAATTCAAGGTGAATGTCATGTGAGAAACATATGTTGGTGACCCTAACCTTTTTTACYCTTATTTCAGGTTTGTTGGTTTTACTTGTTTAAAATCCACCAGAAAGAACTTCTTAGGGTGATAGAGCTTTGCCTTTTGGAGGGCCATCTCATGGGGATGTGAGCTGTAAAGCATCTCCTTCAGGAGAGGCTTCTTGTGCAGAAGGGGCAGTGCTAAAAACCTGTTATTAAGCTTCTAATAATATTTCTTCACTGTCCCCTTTCACAACTGTGCAGTCACATGTGTAGCTGTATACTAGAAGTGTAAGACTCTACAAAAGGCCTGGCTCCTGTACGTTTGTGAATTGCCCTTTTTCAATTACTCTGTGCCAGAAAGCAGCTCATATCCTGCTTCTGATGTATTTTAACAGCACAAAGGTTATTTAGGAACAAACCATATCGTGTAAAGGTGGGGCAGAGCACAGAAGGGTTTTGAGATGTCTGCTGAATGCAAAGGGCTAGGTACTTACTTCTGTACCCTTTAAATAGAGGATATAGAAGGATAGTTTTTATAGGTAGTTTGCATTAATATTTCATGTTCAGTATAGCACAAAGCCAGTGTCTGGCCTGTGCTGGTGGTACAGATATGCATTATGCAGGCAAAAAAATACTTTTATTTACGTTTTGGGGGGAACTTTGTTTTTTTCTCATTTTCCTTTCCTTTTTTTTTTTTTTTTTTTTTTTTTTTTTTTTTTTTTTTTAACAGTCTCGTTTAAAGAAAAAAAAAAAGGTGGGCCTGTGTTTCTTTCATAGGTTTTAATTTATGGCTCCTGCACTTTACAAAGTTCCTCTGTGTTCTAAAATTATTAAATGTGATTTAAAGTTTGTTTGATTCTGCTTCTGTTATGTTAAAACTTCACAAGAGTGAAGTGTGGATCATAGAATGGCTGTAAAATGTACAGCTATCTAAAGAGTTTTTTTAAAAGTACTTAGTGCTGAGGAAAGGCTTTGCAGTTAGAATCACTTGTCCCTAAAATAGTTTTTATGGCTGTAGAAAGTTCTAACAGGTCCCTTCCTTTGGTCTGAGAGGATTGCCCTGCCTACTGCCCTAACAAAGCCCCAGCTTTACCACAGAATCTTTTGTTTTAATGCTTTGATCATTCCAGGTTTTTTAGGAAAAGATGTGGTGCTATATACAGGCTTATTTGCAGCATTTATTTTCTGATATACTGTTTACACCATTTTAATATCTCTGATGGAATTACTAAGTACCCTGTGCCTTAAAAGCTCTTTGCCTAGATGGTTTGACCTATTATTTGTTCCCTCTTGCYCAAGATTTCTTGTTCACTGTCATTACAAATGCTCCCTCTTTTGATTAGAGACTGTATGCTCAAAGCACACTTTAAAAAACTGAACACCACAAAACAAAATGTRCTTCCTCCACCCCCCAGACCCCCAATGCCAGCCTAATGTTTGTTGTTACTGCTGGGAATGCATTTAGAAGTGGTACATAAGCAGTGAGGTTTTGCTTCATGTGAGCTCTGTTTTAGGCCATGTTCATATAGCTTCTATGCATTTTTAATGTCTGATTTCTTAAAATATGTGTTTCTTGRTTCCGCCCTTCCAGCTGACACTACTGCACTTGTAGGACAAAAGAGAAAGTTCACTTAATACAAAATTGTGTCGCCTGCCTTTGAAATAAGGGATTCTACCTTTGCATGTGTAATTAAAAGTACATTTTGAAAAGGTAGCCAGTRTGTTTCTTGAATTGCAGTATGAATCTGTGAATTGTTAAAACGAATGAGGGCAGATTTGAGCCTGTGGACTCTTAAGATGGCCTGTGTGAGAACTCTAGCAGAGCAGCCAATCTTCAGCTTCCTTGTTTCTGCCTATGAAATACAAGCTGTCGGTACGAAAGGGAGAAGGAACATTGATTCCTTCCCTTCTTCCTCTTCAACCCTGCAAATCCAAGTTAACTGTGTGGATCCCAGAGGCAGCATAGTTGCAAACAGTTAATTGAAGAGATCAAGTGGTATTCTATTGAAGCTTTAAATTGTTTTAACAAAACTTCTGAGTAATCGCAATAATTATTTTCTGATAAGCTGGCTGATAGTAACTATGGCAACAGCTGTCTGGCCTATGGACAGCATTGCTGTATTGACAAAACCTTTAGATGCTCCTGAGGCCTCTTGCCTCTATAGGGAAGTGCATCAGGATGACTTTCAGGWGACTGAAGCATCACCATTTCTT